GTACAGCTTCCGGGTCATGTGGCCAGCAGGACTAAGCCACTTCTGGCGAACCAGAGCAGCACACGGAAACACTGTTTACCTTCCCACCGGAGCGGTACCAATTTATCTACTTGCACTTTGACGTGCTTTCAAACTGCTAGGTTGGCAGGAGCAGGGACCGAGCAACGGGAGCTCACCCCGTCGCGGGGATTCAAACTGCCGACCTTCTGATCGGCAAGTCCTAGGCTCTGTGGTTTAACCCACAGCGCCACCTGCGTCCCATCATTAAGATGTTAAGCATCCGTAATTAAAATGTTCAGCAAAACAATCCCATTAAAGGGACACAGCAATTAATAGGTAGAAAAGAAAAGAACAATGTGTTTCCAATAATATTGCCTAAGAGGACTTTTCCCATTTTCTTTCAGGGTCAAGTGTGCTTTGAAGCTGTAGCTGTGGTTTCATGGATTAGGAGTGGGCGTTGCTGGATCCTGACCAGAAAGCTCTGCATAAGGACGACATGGAGGAGAATCATGGGATCATGGACTCTCTCGGTAAGGCTCCCTGTGGGATCATAATATACCTTTTGAAATTCCATAATACCATATCTCTATGTGACAAATGCCCCAGATTTGGATGGCGCTCAACAGCGCCACCTAGAGCACCTGGGATTCTAACACCCCTAAAGCTCCCCTTGAATCAAGCAGTAATGACTGTTTGGTCTGTGAAGATTCTTCCTCCAGTTATGCCTTTGTAAACGATGATCAGGCTGGTCTGAAGTTCCCAGGCCTTTTTAAATGTCGTCTTCAGAGTTGTTAGGGAAGTGGATGTAGATTCTGTCCAGTTTTGTGTTTTTGTTTCTGCTTCTGTCTGTTTTTGGATGACCAAGGAGGTGACTGACCAAGCTGGAGCAGATACTATGATTGGCCCAAACAATATTCATCCCAGAAAAGGGCCAGGTTTTTTTGGATCTCATGTTCCCATAAATATGTCTGTGAAGGTAGTAAGTGCTCACATTTAACTCCCCTTAGTTCATCCTCTATCACAAGTGGTCTTTAGCATTGTTCGATAATTGGTGGTCCATTTCTTCCTGAGGCACTAATCTGCTTCTGTCTTTGTTTCAGGTGGTGATGAATTAGAAGAACAAGGGAGACCACAACAAAATCCACACATTGGAGAAGCCATATCAATTCATACAGGGGATAAACCATATCAGTGCCTTGAATGTGGCAAGAGCTTCAGTGAGAGAGCCCACCTCAGGGCCCATCTAAGAATTCATACAGAGGATAAACCATATAAGTGCCTGGAATGTGGCAAGAGCTTTAGACAGAGCATCCATCTCACTTCCCACCAAAGAATTCATACAGGGGAGAAACCATATCTGTGCTTGGAATGTGGGAAGAGCTTCCGTCACAGTGCCAACCTCACTTCCCACCAAAGAATTCACACAGGGGAGAAACCCTATCAATGCTTGGAATGTGGAAAGAACTTCAGTCAGAGGGCCAGTCTCATTTCCCATCAAATAATTCATACAGGGGATAAACCATATCAGTGCCTCGAATGTGGCAAAAACTTCAGTTGGAAAAAAAGTCTCACTTACCATCAAAGAATTCATAGAGGGGAGAAACCCTATCAGTGCTTGGAATGTGGAAAGAGCTTCAGATGGAGCGCCCATCTCACTTCCCATCAAAGAATTCATACAGGGGAGAAACCATAGAAGCATAAAATTGTAGAGCTGAAAGGGGCACTGAGGGGCATCTAGCTGAACCCTGTGCAATGCAGGAATCTTAGCTAAAGCATCCATGACAGATGACTATCCAACCTCTACTTAAAACCTCCAATGAAGCAAAGTCCCACCATCTTCTGATGGAGTCCATTCCACTGTTGAACAGCTCCTACCACCAGAAAGTTCTGCCTGATGTTTGAATTTCCTTTCTTTCTCTGTGCCTCTTGAATACAGTGGGAAGGTGGTGCCAGAGCACCTCTCAGAGAAGGCGGTGGCGGCAGAACATTGGGAGACAAACTAGACCTCTGCATAGGGCATTCTGAAGCATTCAAAACTATTCATAAAGACATTCTTACAGTATCCCTATAAGGTGGACAAGCAGCATTTCTCCAGTATTGCAGGAAGTTGAGAGAAGGGATGGAGAGTGGAGAGGGGTTTGAATCATAGACTCTGTTCTCTGCAAGTTGCACACACAAAATCCAATCTGAATTGTGTTGCTTATTGACATCTGTATTGGACACACACACAACCGGCATTGGCTGAACCAGTTTTAGGGTTTCATAATTATTGCTTTCTTAAATTGTGATTTCAAAGTGGGGGTGTTTGGGAAGGGGCATTGAGCCGTGTGTGCTGCCTCAGCTGGAAAGGTGGCTGTGACTTTGCTCTAATGCTGGAGCAGAGGAAAGGGAGTTGCCGTGAAGAATGGGCAGGCAGACCTCTCCCAGCACACTGCCTGAGCTCCCAAGTCTGTAGCCCTGAATATCCTGGGTGTGTCCCAGGTTCTTTTTCATTTGGTTTTTAGGGAGGGCTTTTCATGAGTCCATTCTTGGCCACACACACACACACACACTTCAAAATCAGGGATGTTGGCTGGAGACACATTTCTTATATTTTTATGGTTCTTTAGCTGCATTGCAGTTATACCTATTCCACTTCTCCTGCAAGTTGCTCAAAGAAGTATTCATGGGTCTCCTTTTACCAGTGTTGATCTCAAGCCTTGGGTGTCCTGGACCCAGTCCTGTGGAACCCCCTGCCACTAGAGATTGAGGGGGCGCCTTCTGTGCCAGCTTTTAAACACCTGCAGGCCATTAAGAGAACATCCCTCACAAGGGTCTATTGATGCTTGTGTTTTAGATATTTCCTTTTGCTTTTAACCTGTTGTTAAGTTTTAATGATGTTTTTGTTTGGTTTTATGTTTTTATATTGCTGTAAACCACTGGCATATTTTTCTGATGCAGCTGTCCATAAATATTAACATACAAACAAGCAATCCTGTGAGGTACGTTAGGCTGAGAGACAGGGACTTTCTGCTCCAAGGTCGCACAGTGAGTTTTGTGGCTGAGTGGTGACACACTCTTTCCCCCCTCCCAGCTCCCTCTCTGCTTAATATGACCCATAATCACATAATCTTTAAAATAAATGCATCAATACAAATGATGGTTTGTGCCGCAAAACTAACAGCCACAAGGATACCTTTTTGCAATGGCCATGGTTGCATTTGAATGCAAGACCAAACTAGAGCAGTCTTCAAAACAACCACATGAAATCAAAATGAAATGTTTCAGAAGTTCCTGCAAGGATGGAGCATTGCTCCAAAGACAGTGGCGAGGGGGGCGGGTTCTCCTGCTTCCAGAGAGGAGTCCCTGAACCTGAACTAAGACACCCAGCTTTGAAACCGCAATGAAACAACCGGTCACAGAAATCCTATCCTGCTTAGAGATGGGCATTCCAGTTCTTTAGCTCAAGAAATCTGAGGTTGGGGAACCTGGAGAGCCATTGAGGCTTTGTCCACCATACATTTAAAGCACCTTTCTTCCCCTCCCCCCACACCCCATACTTGAATTTACTTTGAAGTTGTTGACGTTAAGAAAAATGTTCCATTGCTGCAACATGAGTTTTTGGGTTTTCTATATAAGTACTTAGGTATCAGGACATAATATGTACATTTTAAGGTGTCATGTTAGTGTTAGGGATTGTTTGTGTTAAAGGGGAAGATTTCTGAGCCCCAGCGAGGGGGGTTCCCCAACTTCAAAAGGTCTGGCTCTGGGGGTCCCAAATCAGTCATGTTCAAGCAAGGGACCACAGCCAAGCAAGTTCAAGCAAGGGACCACAGCCAAGAAAAACAGCGGCAGCCACGCCAAATCGTTTATTTTGTTCCCACAAAGTTTCTAACTAAGCAAACCAAAGAAGAACCAAGATCAAAGGTTACCTCAGTTTTTTAAAATTCCCAAAGTTTCCCAGCATACATCTGCAAAAGCATCATGAAAGCCGTCAGAAGGAAGGTGTGGTGACAAACGGGAGCCCCCGACACCCCCTGTCCCTCAAGGCAGGGATTAGACATATTTCACCTAGCAGAGAAAGTATTTACACTTCCTTTCTTTATTTTGTCTCGCTTGGCACACCCAGGCTTGCTGCACCTCGTCAATCTCCACCCTGAGGTGGGTTTTCCTGCCCTTGAAAGTCTGCCGGGCTCCTGTCTAGCCCTTGGTAAGGTGTGATCCTGGGGCCACGCTCCCAGGATTGGGGCCTGCCTGCCCAATTCATCTCATGACTCAGCCCCCCTCTGCCTCTGCCTTGGAACCAAGTAAAAACATTTATTCGGCTATTTCTAATGAGTTTCTGTGTTTCTTCCATTCAAAATACAGAGGAGGCACAAGGCTGGGGCTTCGGCGCGCGTCCCTTGGGGACCTCCTGCCCTTGGAGTGCGAGCGAGGGGGTCCTTGGCGGCTCCTTGCAGACTTTGAGATTCAGCCTTTTCTTCGGCCTGCCTCCCAGGTTCCCCTATAGGGGCTGCTGATTCGCAAGTGGGATTAAGGCTTAAAGGTCTGTTCTGCAGGCTGTGATTGGTCAGCTGTTCAACAGGACGGCTCCTGGTCCTGGACCCCTCCAGATAAAGAAAAGGCGCTCTTTCCCTCCTGCTCCCAAAAGGTGACGCGCTTGTGCCTGCGCAAGTCTGGGTCTGTGCTGGGCAGCCTTTTCGCCTCGGCGTTTGCCCGCCGCCGGTCAGGCTGATCCGGGGAGCCTCCCCTCTCCGCTTTGCCCGTACCATTAGGAAAGGAACTGAACATTTCCAGTACCAGAATGCCCTTCTACGGATCGAGGGGGCGACCACACCGGGAATCCTGGGTCCAGTTCGGCTCCCCTCGCCTCAGAGCAGAAATAGTCTTAGGAAAGATCCAGGCGGGGGGGGGGGGTAGGCTTCCCTATGAAGAAAGGCTGCAGCTGCTGCCTCTTTCTAGCTTAGAGGGAAGCCGAGGGAGACGCACCTTGAGCTGGGGGGGGGGGGGCGTCGCCTTGCAAAGGTGAAAGGGAACAGAGCTGCATTCCTAGAGAGGCCAGGGGAGGGGGAGTCCTTCCTCCGAAGCTCCTTCCCTCCTTCGTCTCTCTTTTCTGCACGAGCTGCCTTGCTGGCGCCTCCTGGAATCCGGTGAGTCTCCTTTCTCTGATAGCGCAGGGTGCATTGGGGAGAAGGCAGGGCGTCCCAAGGCTGCAGGGAAGGGGGCATGGGCGGGGGGGGGCGAGGTGCATGCGGGGACCCCCAAGTCAGGCAGCTGAAATCCTCGCCCTTTGCCTGCGCAGGAGATCTGCAACTTCATTTGGATCCATTCGCTGCTTGACACTTTGGGGAGGAGTCTTTGGCTTAGAGGGGGGATTATGTACAGTATTGGTATAGTATTAAATTTCTATACCACTTAATATATTATAAATATAAACGGTGCACAGGAAATGGCAGCAACAACAATGTAAACAAATACACATTTCAAAAAGACACAGTTGCATATAAAAATGTTACATTAATACAAAGTTTCTCTCTCTCTCTCAGTAGATACGTCAAAACAAAAAAAAAATCCTTCCAGTAGCACCTTAAAGACCAACTAAGTTAGTTCTTGGTATGAGCTTTCATGTGCATGCACACTTCTTCAGATACACACGAAAGCTCATACCAAGAACTAACTTAGTTGGTCTTTAAGGTGCTACTGGAAGGATTTTTTTTTTGTTTTGACTATGGCAGACCAACACGGCTTGTTGTTGTTTAGTCGTTTAGTCGTGTTCGCCTCTTCGTGACCCCCTGGACCAGAGCACGCCAGGCACTCCTGTCTTCCACTGCCTCCCGCAGTTTGGTCAGGCTCATGTTTGTAGCTTCGAGAACACTATCCATCCATCTCATCCTCTGTCGTCCCCTTCTCCTTGTGCCCTCCATCTTTCCCAACATCAGGGTCTTTTCCAGGGAGTCTTCTCTTCTCATGAGGTGGCCAAAGTATTGGAGCCTCAACTTCACGATCTGTCCTTCCAGTGAGCACTCAGGTCTGATTTCCTTAAGAATGGATGCGTTTGATCTTCTTGCAGTCCATGGGACTCTCAAGAGTCTTCTCCAGCACGGCTACCTATCTGTAAGTAGATACATCAGTAATGCAAATAAACTCAATTCAGATTAATGAATAAGTCCCATTTATTAATGGGCTGTAGCCCAACAGAAACATTTGGACTTAAAATAAACGCAAGAAATAAAAAGGAAAACCTGACCTATACATTTAGTGAATAAAGTCCGTTGGAAGATGGAGGGCAGAGAAAAGAAAGCGCTTCTTGGTGCGGTGCAGAGTCAAACCTTTGGAACTCCCTGCCCCAGGAGGCGAGGCTGGGACCAGGGCAGCGAGGAAGAGGAGGGGCTCTTGGTGGCTTCATGCAGGAGGGCTGAGGTTTTGTCTCCCCAGAGATGCTGCTGAATCCCAGTTGCTAGAAGGAAGCGCAGGGGGAGAGAGGGGGGGCTCTTGCGCACCAGTCCTGCTGGGGGGCTTCCCATTCAGGCCCCAGTGGGAACGGGGGTGGGGAGACTCCAGAGGGGCCCAATGGCCTGATCCTGCAGGGCTCCTCTCCTGCTCTGATGCTCAGCTCCTCCAGATGCAAGTCCTCTGTTGCCCTTCAGTTAGAAGTAAAGCTTTCCCAGTTCCCTGGATTCTTTGGAGGAAGCCATGGCTCTTTAAAGTGGTCTGATCCTGCTTTGAAGATGCTCGGCTTCCTTGAGGCTCCGTGTGTATCTTGAGGCTTAATTTCCCACCCTCAGGCTTGAGGCTTTATGTTGTTGTTGTTCTGGTTGTTATTCTCATTACTCTTATTACTGCTACCGGCTTATGGAATGCCCTCCCCGGGGAGGCCCACCTGGCGCCTTTCTTACAAATCTTCAGGCAACATTTGCCTGATCCACATCAAATGGCCTTTTAGATGTGTCTGTGGGAAGGGGGGTTATTGGTTTGGTTTGGTTTGGTTTGCTTTTGCTTTAGTTTTGCATTTTATGTTTTCATTCTGTTTTTTTATGTTGTGAACTACCCTGTGATCTTCGGATGAATACAAATTAAATAAAGAATAATAATAATGACAATACATTTATTACCCAGAGCGGGTTACAAGCATTTTAACATTCCATATTAAAAGGAGTTAGAACGAAGGACAGCCATAGGAAGGTAGGTCCTGAAAAGGCAAGAGTCAGAGGCCTTGGACAAGAGGGGAAGGGGCCAGGTGCCCCTCTGTGGGGAGGGAATTCCCCAACCGAAGGACTGGCCCCAGGATAGCCACTCTAGGGCCACCCCAAACTGCCAAGAGCGCCTCTTCTGCCAGCCTTAACCCCCAAGAGGGTCTGTGGGGAAGGAGGCGGTTGTTCAGATATTGGGAGGCCTAAGTGGACGCCTCTTGTGAGCCCCTTGAATTGGGCCCAGAAATGAATGGACATCTGTGGCAGCTGTTTTAAGAGAGGAATTAGATATGTTCTCAAGGGTTTGGGGAATTCAATGAGGAGGGAGAGACACATGGATGCCACCGGGAGCTCCTTGGAGAAAAGGGGGAGATAGAAATGCCATGAATCAAGAGAGGGAACCCAACCCATGATCTGGCTGCTGCATTTTGGAACGGTTCCTGAGTTGTCTTCAAGGGCAGCTCCATGCAGAGGGCATTGCAATGATCCCATCCGATCCAGAGCATGGAATACCATGGTCAAGTACTCTCTGTCCCAAATGGACTGTGTCAGGGACTGGACACCAGAGGAGGAAGGGTGGTGACCATCCTCCCCCTTCTCCTGAACCTTCCCGAGAAGAGGAGGACAGTATAGATGTACAACAGTGGTTTGCAGAAGGTCATGACTCTGAGAGAGAAGAGGGACAGAGCTGGGAGATAATGGGAGAAGGGAAGGGGAGCAGCAGAGCCGGAGCAGCCGGCTGGCATGTTATCATTAGAAAGCATTCCAGACCCCCCTTCCCCTAGGACCCAGAGAGCAGTGAAAGTGGGAGAGCAGAACAGGAATAGGCAAGGGGCCTTATGCAGCCACTGTGAAAGGGTGGAGCTGCTGACAACTGAGAGGAAAGTGGGGGAGGGAGGAGATTATGCAGAGCAAGGAAACGGCATCCTGCATCTCTCTCTCTGTGAGTATTGAATAAAAGACTTTGGTAAGAGCTTCTTGTTTTTCCATTACTGGCAGCCTGCTGTGAGGGAGGGGGATCAGATTCCCTGAAGCCTGACAGACTGGCTGGCAAACTACCTGAGCTGGAAATGGGCACTCCTAGTCACTGAGGCCACCTGAGCCTCAAATGACCATGAAATGAGATTCGTCCGGCATGACTTGTTCTTCGGAAACCCATGCTGGGTCTTAGTAGTCTCAGCATCCTTTTCTAACTCCTCACAGACCGACTGTTGAATTATCTGTTCTAGGACCTTCCCTGGTATCAATGTCAAGCTCACCAGTTGGTACTTACCTGGGTCTTATTCCGCCCCCCCCCCTCCTTGAGAACACTGGTCTGCAGGATGTCATCACCTGTTCTCCAAGATTTCTCAAAGATCATAGACAGAAACTCTGAAGTTACATAAGCAAGCTCCTTTACTACCCTTGGATGCAGCTCCTCAGGCCCTGGAGATTTGAATTCATTTAAAATAGCTAGGAGTTCCCTTACTCAGAGGTGTAGCAAGGCCATGTGGTACCCGGGTGCGGAATTTTGTTCTCTCTCTCTCTCTCTCTCTCTCTCACACACACACACACACACACACACCAAGTTGGGAGTCACGGACTTCTTGCAGTCCATGGGACTTGCTTTTAATAATAATAATAATAATAATAATAATAATAATAATATCTTTATTGTCATTGCCCCCTCTCGGGGACAACGAAATTACTTGGCTGCTCCTTAGTTTCTAGCTCCTTAGAAACTAGCTCCTGCTAGTTTCCTTAGTATGTCCCTATTTTCATTGGAGAAATGTTGTTGGGTATGGAGTTATCCGACCCCCGAGCTGTCTGAAGGCAATCAGATGGCACAAGGAAGTATTTTTTAATGTTTAATGTTTTATTATGTTTTTTATATATGTTGGAAGCAACCCAGAGTGGTTGGGACAACTCAGTAAGATGTATAGGTTATAAACAGTAAAATTTATCGGCGAAATTTTGGAGAGTATGAGTCACTGGTCTGATGAACCTTTCCCCCTGCAAGCTGCTCCTCTTTCTGTTTCCAATGGAAGGAGCAGCTTGGCACGTCAGCCAAGAGGGTCCCCACCCGCCGCCCAAGATAACTTCTCTGACTGTGCGCAACGCACACGGCTTCTCCTGGGCTTCGCCTTCTGGAGGCGAAAAGGCAGAGGGAGAGAAGGGTGAAATGGGTGCACACAGCTTGCCAAGGGTTAAAATGAGCTGGATTCCTAGAGAGGACAGGAAATAAAAGTGTCGCGGGGGGGGCAGGTCCTCCCTTCCCCCTCCCTTCCTGCAAGAGTGGGAGGGGGCTGTCGTCTTCTTTGCAAATGCTGCCTCGGCGGTGCCTTCTGCGCGCTGGTGAGTCTCATCTCTCTTCCTCCTCTCTCTTCATTGGGGAGAAGAGGGGTTCCCTGCCCACCCCCACCGAACCCCAAATCAGGGAGCCGAGGGTCCTCCCCCTCCATCTCTGCAAAGCCAGGGCGCGGGCTCGTTCCCAGGAGGTGTGCAGCTACAGACCCATGGATGCCCCCTTGAGCTCATTGGAGAAATAAAGGGGAGTATAACTATGCCATGACTCAAGAGAGGGATCCCAGCCCATAATCTGGCCGCTGCGTTGTGGGCCCGTTTCCAGCTCGTCTTCCAGGGCATCTCCACAGAGACGGCATTGCAAGGATCCCCTCAGGTCCAGAGCCGGGAAGCTGAGCCCCCCCCCCCACGGGAGGGCGCCGTGTTCAGCTGATCCATCTGGGCGCCCCCCCCCCCACGGAGCAGACTTTCTTTCCTCTACCTGTTCCCAAAATCAAGCGCAGCTTGGCCTGGACTTTGGCATCAGCAGTGCTGGTTTATTGGGGGGGGGCGCTTCCCGAAATGGATTAACTGAATGGATTCTAGGCACTGACCAGATGAAAAGATCATAGCCGAGTTTCTGACACAGGAACAGAATATTGGAAGGTAGCTGAAAGTAGAAATTGTGAGTTTTTCCTGAACAGTTTGGTCCCTGAATGCGCTGCTTGTAAATACTGTACTCATAGGTTGCTTTACATAAGGAATAGAGGTCTAGAAATTCAAGTTATTGTTATAGGCCCAGGGTCTTTTGCCTTGCCATCCCCACTACTGACTCCCTGTTGCTACTCTGGGTGCCTCCCAACACAATATTATAAACACAATAAAACAGCAACCATTGAAAACTTCCCGATACAGGGCTGCCTTCAGATATCTTCTAAAAGTTGTGTAGTTCTTTATCTCCTTGACATCTGCTGGGAAGGAAGTTCCCCAGGCAGGGTGCCACTACCAAGAAGGCCCTCTGCCTGCTTCCGTGGGCATTTTGGGGCCTCTCAGCCTCCCACCCGTGCGAGCAGAGTTGCCTTTGCAGCAGAGTCCAAAAACAAAACAAAACTCCACAACCAGGTCAAGCACAGGCAATCTGGATCCCATCCTGACTGAAAGCAAGGTCAGAAAATAATGCAAGCATAATTCCACTGGGGGTTCACACTAAGTACAACACAGCAAGACGGGGGAAGTAATATCAGGAACATGGAGCCAGAAAGCTCTGCTATTTCCAGATAATCTCATACAATATAGCCTTCCAGACCACAAACTAGCCAAAGTCGTCATCATCAGAGGAGTTTCAAGGAATGCATACTCATGAGTAGACCCCTTGCTCCTGAGCTGTAGAAGTTGTCTTCTGATCTCTTGCAGGAATCCTGAGAGTACAGATGGATGAGCAAGACCCAGCTGGCCCTGAAGCAGGAAGAGGCCATGCCATGGAAACTGGAAGCCGTGGGGGATTCTGGGAAAACTCAGTGCAGTTGGGTGAGGTGGACACTCTTCGCTCAGATGTGCAGAGCCAGCAGTTGAGACAGTTCTGCTCCCAGGAGGCCAAAGGACCCCGTGAGGTTTGCTGCCGGTTCCTCCACCTTGACCATCAATGGCTGAAGCCAGAAAGGCACACGAAAGCTAAGATTTTGGACCTGGTGATCTTGGAGCAGTTCCTGGCTGTCCTTCCAGTGGAGATGGAGAGCTGGGTGAGGGAATGCAGAGCAGAGACCAGTTCCCAGGCAGTGGCCCTGGCCGAAGGTTTCCTCCTGAGTCAGGCGGAGGAGAGGAAGCAGGTGGAGAAGCAGGTGAGAGAGACTTTCCTCTTAATTCTCCCAGGGAACTCTGAACAGGAGGGAGAAGATCCTAAAATACTCTACTAATTGCTCATCCTTTTTAGGAAGCATCCAAGGCATAAAATAAAATATTTGCCTCTACCATTCTTTGTTGCTCTTTCAGGAAAATGATCTGGTTGCGGAAATGGACTCCAATTACTCTGAGGCAGAGAGGACTCCATTGGACACCAGAGAGAGTTCACTATGTAAGGAGAAAGGAGTTTCTTCCCCGTTTGGTCTTTCTGTTGCTTTTGAAAGTAATCTCTGAGTTCTTTCAAATTTTTTTTGGGAGGGGAGACATTTGGGACCAAGGGCCCAGAAGAACACAACAAAACTATGAAATTTGTATGACCACCGAAATGTACATTTCAGAGAAGCATGCACTCCTGGCTTCCAACTAATCTTTGTCTCTCAGGTGAAAGAAGAATGTCAACAAGACCTCCTCACCCGTCTTTTCCTGGTGGTGGAGAGGAAGCAGCAGCTGCAGAAGCAGATCAGGTAGGAGGAAGGAGCCTTGTGGGGAAAGAGGCTCAGGAGTGGGGCAGCCAGGGTGTCTCTGGGAATGAAGAAATCCCTCTCTTCCTCTTTGCTTTCATCAAAGCTGTCCCAAACAAAGGCTGAAAGTGCCATTCAGTAAGGTCTATCTGCTGAAAATCAGGAACAGCCTCCCCTCCTTAACTAGCCTTCTGTATGTTGCTAGTATTATTTATCAGCATTTGCAGTTATATTTAATAAATTTATGATTGAGTGCTCTTCTGGGCTTCTAAGTAGTTGACCTAATACAATGCAGCATCCCTAAAAATGAAGCAGGCGCAGCAGATTCATCCAGTATTATTTGCTGAAGGCCAAGGAGCATAACAGTTCACAAATCCAACTTTCTGTCAGGGACCGTGCTGAGATGGGCTGCACTGAGGAGGAATGGTGGGAGCCTCCCCCTCTCCCTGCTCCTGATCAGGATCCTGAATCTTCCCAGGAGCAGAGGGACCGTATAGATTTGGAACAGTGGTTTGCAGAGGGACATAGTTCAGAAGAGCAGATAAAGTGGCAGCACAGAGAGCACAGTGGTTAGGAGATCAGGTTAGAAGATGTGGTAGTGAACGTGGGTGACTAGGGCGGATGTGGGTGGAACCCTTAATTGGGAGCACCTTCATTCCTAGGAAATGGATTTTTTGTTCTAACTGGTAGGAAGTCTCCTTTCCATGTATTCTGTTTATCTGCTGCCAAAGGGGGGAGGAAGCCGATTTCCTGAAGCCAGACACTCTTCAGGACTGGCATAGTTCTTAAGAATCCAGCTGCAGTAAAAAAACAAAAATGAAAAACTTGAAGACTAAGAACTAAACAATTAGACATACTATGTACAGATCACCCCACCAGAAATGGAGAGAGAGAGAGAGAGAAAGTGAAAATCAGGTTTCCTCTGGCTTCTGTTTATAGACAGCATGGCCTTGGGATAGAAAAATAACAGGGCCAGCTTCAACCAGCTGTACTCCGCTTCTCTGAAGGAATAACCCAAACAGCAGGAACCTTCTGCTCATTTCCAAGCAGAATGGAAAAATTGCTGACCAGCTAGTCACTTGCCGCTTGCAGCTTGGAGTAGCTTCTAGCCTGTGAGACCCAGACAAGTTTCCAGAACCTTCTTAAATCAATAGAATAGGAAAGATCTCTGCATATTAGACAAATACTTTCTATAACAAAAATGGCAAGCCATGTCAGTAATACCACCTCCCTCTTACCCATCCACAAGCCTTGAATTCTACCCCAGATCCTTTTTGGCTGGTCCAAGATTTCAGACTTGTCTACCAGTTTGTGGTCCAAAAACACTTAGTGGTGCCCAACCCTCAGAGCGCCATCCCTGCAGGGACCAAGTGGTACAGCCTAGTGGACCTTTGCTCAGCATTTTTGAGTATCCCCATTGCAATTAACACAACACAGCAATGAATAGGCAGGAAACCACACCGCAAAGTGTAGTAGATAATCTTTAGACTGCCTTAGAGAAGAACCCTTGTCTTTTTCCTTTCAGGGTCCTCTGTGCTTTGAAGATGTAGCTGTGCATTTCACGGAGGAGGAGTGGGCGTTGTTGGATCCTGACCAGAGAGCTTTGCATAAGGAAGTCATGGAGGAGAATCGTAGGATCATGTCCTCCCTTGGTAAGGCACCCAGTTGGATGATAATATCTGCTTTGAAATTCCAGATAGATAGATAGATAGATAGATAGATAGATAGATAGATAGATAGATATAGATGATGATAGATAGATAGATAGATAATGATAGATAGATAGATAGATAGATAGATAGATAGATAGATGATAGATAGATAGATGATTGATAGACAGATAGATAGATAGATAGATAGATAGATATCGTATTTTTCGCTCTCTAAGACGCACCAGATCACAAGACGCACCTAGTTTTTGGAGGAGGAAAACAAGAAGAATGAATGAATCTTTATTTGCGTCAGCCAACGGCCATAGCAATAAAACAACAATACAATATACAAAGAATAGAAATAAAAAGTCAATTATATAAAATACATTTTAGGGTTTTGAATCAATAGTCAGATAGTGGATCAATAATCTCATTACTTAAAACTTGGCAGAGGTGATAAAATAATAGTAGTAAAACATAATGATAATAATAATAAGATCCTAGGCAAGGAATCCAGGTGACGACACTAATGTCATTCAGATAGCAGCTCTCAGTCTCATTGCTCTCTCGATAAATTTGGCAACCTTCTCTGTTGTCGAGCTGTTCTGGTCGGCTAGGAGTGAGAACAGTTTGGCTTCACAAGAGTGGCCCGGGATGGCAGATAGGAGCGGGGTGATGGTCTCATCCCTGAGATCTTTATATAGGGAGCAAGACAAGAGAACGTGTGACACAGTCTCTACGTAGCCAGCTCCACAGGGGCAGAGCCGGTTCTCGAATGAAATTTTTTGATATCTACCTTCAAGAACAGCTGAGGGTAACATATTTAGTCTGGCCAGTGTAAAGGCCAGCCTGAGTTTTGGAATGGTTAAGGTAGACAAATAAGGTGCCCGAAAATCAAAGTGGGAGGGGGGCAGGTAAGCGTACCAAGCACTAAATTTCTTAATATAGGCCAGGTTATTCTGCTGCTCAATATCCTTCATTCGCTGGTCAATAATAGTTTTTGCCTTAGGGAGACCCATTTTCAGGAGATGCTGTGCTTGGAGGCCACATATAAGTAGCTTTTGATGCACTACTTTGGACCACCGACTTCTATGAGCATCTCGTGCTACTAAAGGTAGTAGTCCAGATGGGTTTAAATTTAAGCGAAGCCAATAGTTAAATGTTCTTAACCAGGTTCGGGTTTCGACGGAGAGGAGGCCAGTCTCCAGCCGTAGGGCCGCATTTGGTGCGCATGGTGGAACGGCTAGAATCTGTCTTAAGAATTTAGACTGGACCGTTTCAAGTGTGCGGCAATGATTTCCCGTCCAGATTTGGGCCCCGTAGAGTAATTGCGCCAAGGGTTTTGCTTGAAAGACCTCCAGAGCTGCAGGGATATGTCTGCCCCCTTTCGTAAAGTAAAAGCGAGACAGTATTTTGGCGCTTTGAGATGCTTTTTCCCTAGCATATTTATGATGGGCCTCCCAGGCCCCTGTTGACTGGAAAACTACTCCAAGGTATTTGAAAATTTTGACCTGTTCTATTGGCTGATTGTCCATCTCCCATCTGTGCTGTCTGTGTCTCCTAGCGAAGACCATGACTTTGGTTTTTTGGTGATTAACCACCAATTGATCTCTCCTGCAGTAGGCTGAGAATTCTCTTAGTAGCCTTTTGAGGCCTACTTTAGTTCGTGATAAGAGAACCGCATCGTCCGCATAGAGGAGTACTGAAATTGGTTTTTCGGCCAGTTTGGGGGCATGAAACTCCGGGGATGTTAGGTATATGACCATGTCATTTATATATAAGTTGAATAGGGCCGGGGCTAAAATACAGCCCTGCTTGACTCCTTTGGTGGCTGGTACAGGGCCAATTAGTTGCCCATTTACTGAGGTTCTTACGTATAACTTGGAGTCTTTATATAGGCTTTTTATCAAGAATAATAATCTTTTGTCAATGCTGGTAGCATTGAGTTTAGCCCAAAGTTTGACTCGTGAGATCGAGTCAAAGGCTGCCTTCAGGTCAATAAATGCTGCGTATAGAATCCCACGTGTTTTATTGGCGTATTTGTCAATGAGGTGTGCTAATACGAAACAATGGTCTATTGTTGTTCTGCCCTGTCTGAAGCCGGCTTGCTCCTCTGCCAGAACTGCCTCAGTTTCCATCCAATCAATTAGTTTGATGTGGAGGTGTTTGGCATACAATTTGCTGGGGATAGTAAGGAGGTTAATGGGTCTATAGCTCGCTGGATCTGCCATAGGACCCTTTTTATAGATTGGAATGATTACTGCCTCTGTCCAGCAGCCAGGGATTATGCCTGTTGAATCGATGTATGTGAATATTGACGCCATTATAGGAGCCCACCAACTGATATTGTTCTTCATGAGCTCTGCTGGAATGTGGTCAATGCCCGGGGCTTTGTTGTTTTTCAGTTGGGCAATTAGTTTCCCCACCTCCTTCCTCTATGGAGACAGGAGGCCAATATGGTAAATTCTTGGAGTAGGCACTTGGATCATTGTGCTGAGCTTTGTCATCATAGAAGAGGGTTTGAAAATATTTCATCCACTTCTGGGGTTCTACAGTACATGTGGGACCAATCCGCTCTTGGCCCAGGAGGCCCCTAATGGTACGCCAGAAGGAGGTTGAGTCTTTCTCATTCGAGGCCTTCACTAAGTTACACCAGGCCAATCTCTCAGCTTTTTGATTTTTTACCTTTAATAGCTGTTTATAGTTTCGTCTTAAATCGATGTAAGCCATAAATAGCAAGGGTGCTCCGGTGTTTCTGTAGTTCCGGTAGGTTGATCTCAGACGTTTCCTTGCTTGTCTGCACTCCAAATCAAACCATCTCTCTTGATCCTTTGTCCGCTTTGTAACAGAATTAAGTATCTCAGTTGTTAGAAAGGTCTTTAGTCTTGCTAATAACTCGTTGAACGAGTCCATGGCCTTTTCCCCGGTATTAGCTGATACAATGGCTGTATAGATGGTCTTCACGTCTTCCGAATGGAGGAGATGAGTTAGCTCTGTATTGAGCATGGGGGTCCATTTAATTCTTCTGGGGGCCAGTGATCCCAGATTAACAATGGGGGTGTAGTATAGGTTAGCCGTGGGTTTGTTAAACGATGGGCCATTGAGCGCTAAAATTAGTGGGAGGTGGTCACTTTCGGTGTTATGTCCCACTTGAAACTTTGACACAGAGTTATAGGCGAATCTTGATATCAGAATATAGTCTATCACACTTCCTCCCATCTTTGAAAAATGGGTATACTCCCCTGGGCGATCCTCTTCCTTACTACCGTTTACTATCATCAGCTCCCTTCTTTTTGCGACCTGGGCTAGACATAGCCCCGAGAAGTTGCATTTATTATCTTTAGAAAGTCGTGAAACGCCTGCTTCGGTTGGACTTTCAGGGTCCTGAATCTGATTATATTGGCTGTAAAGATTGTTGTCATCAATTCCCATACGGGCGTTGAAATCCCCCCCCCCCCGATTATAATCGGTGTAGAAGGGTGGGAAGATTCTATGGACTCTAGAAATGCCTCTAACTCTGCCCAGTAAGCTTTCACTATAGATTTTTTTTGACAGGGGGGCAGATAGACATTGACCACTACCAGTGCATCTCTTTTAAATTTGAGTAGGACTGCCGTGGCTAGTGAATTGCAGTTTGGGAGGGCTTTTAAGGAATGTTCAAGCTCTGTGGAGATAAGGCTAGCTAAACCTCCACTAGGCCTACCTCCCCTCACAGATGGAGTAGCAAATAGGGAGTGACAAGAATACCCATTGAACAGAATGGGGTTGCTGTGCCAGGTCTCCTGCAGGAGGATGATATCGAATCGCTTAAGAAACATTGCAAGTTGTTGATTGTTTTTCTTAGCGCGCCATCCTGCAATGTTCCAGGACAGCAGCTTTAATTCTCTGTCCCTCCATGGTGTAGATTTGTTGGGTCCACGGTGTCCAGTGACCCCTTTACATCTAAAAAAACACTCGGAGTGGCTGGGTTGGTCGTTAGGTAGTCAGATCATGTGGGAATGGGATTCTAAATTTGGGGGAGTTTCAGCTTCAAAAAAATCAGTAATTTTCCTTTGAGAAGGTGGCAATCGTGCTATACATCCCAACTGTTTAGATTTATTGGGGTGGTTTGGCTGTAAAGTCGTGCCACTCGTCTCTCTAAAGGCAGCTGTTAGGCCTAACATAGTCGACTTTTCAGAGCCAGATGGTAGAGTTAGGGGGGTATTACTTAGAGAGAGCGAAATTAAGTCAGCAGGTATCGTGCCACTAGTTGGGTGATCATTAACTGTTTGGATAGTTTTGTTAATACGACCTGTCGGGTCTTCAACCAGATCACTCTTCGGGGCTAAAATTAAAATAGAGTCGTCTCTCATTTGTTGGTCTGGTTCAGCTGGTTCTGCTACCGGTTCGATGGTATCTATGGATTTATTCAACTTGCACACGTTAGAAGAGAGTGGGTTAATAAAGTTACAAGTAAGTGTGCCCATATGGGGCACTTTACATGGAGAGCCTAATTCAGATTCGTTAAGCTCCCTCATTTTGTCCCAGGCAGATGTTGTAGCCATATTTGCCTCAGAGATGGGGTGCATGCTAGATGGGTCTGGTGCTGGGGTTTCCGCCTCCAGAATATGGGAGAGTGGATTTATCTCCGCAACAACCAGTTGGCTGGTAGGGGTGTGTGCCTTCCCAACCCACAGGTCCAGTTCTTGGTGGTATAAGCGTGGGGCAGAATCTGAACTACAGTCTCTATCAAGCATATTTTGTTTAGGTAATCTCAGCTGTTCCTCCGTCACTTTTGTCAGGCAGAAGTAAAGGGTATTGTCAGGGGCTCAGGAGCAGAGGCACAGGAAAGGGAGGAAATAGAGAGCGAGGGGGAGGAATCCGAAGGAAATGTTAGCGATGACAGCGGTCCGAGGTCTCTGAGTCTTTCCAGCGAATCGGAAGATTCACAGAAAGGGGCTCCCATGGTCAGAGCAAGGGGGGTGCCTAGGGCGACAACCCAGGAAGAAGGGGCCAGAGGG